ATTAGTTAATATTTACTTTATCAAAATTCTATTAAGCTGATTAAGTGCTAGTTAATTCCAAATATAATAATTAATAATAAATTAATAATAATAAATATAAAAATTAAAATTAAAATTTTGATAATTTTTATTAGATAAAAATAATTCTTATTGTATTGAAGTAAGTTAAAAAAAAACCTTAAATATTAATATAATTAGATATTATATGAATCGGAAGATATTTTTCGCATTTCATTTTACTTTTATTTTTCTTAAATTTAGCTACATCTACTATATAAATATATATAATGTTTTAAAATATTTCACAATTCTAAAAATTATTAGAAATTATAGAAAAGTGATTTTAAGTCTAAAAAAAAATAAAAACAATTATAAGTGAGGCATTGATGAATTTTAAATTTTATCAGTAATATATATATTTCTTAAAATTATAACATTTAGAAAAATATTTTAATAGAATATTTACTTATTTTCATTATTTAGAAAATTTTATATTATATCATATTCGACTCGAAATATATATTAATTTTTTATTTTATACTATTATAGATTTTCTTAAAAATTGGCGAACAAATAAACATAAAGCGTTTTAATAACTAAATAAACTTAAAAATTTCTTAAAAATCTTAAAAATTATGAATTTTGTAAGAAAAATTCTATGTTATATTATCAATATTCAAAATTCAAATTTATAATTTGAAAAGTATTATTATTGCATAAGATTAAATATATAAATTAATTTTTCATATATGTGTGCAGGATTTTTTATAAAATTTTAATAGATAAAATTTTTTTTTTTAAATTTAATAAAATAAAGAAAGAAAAATACAAAATAAATCAATTTCTTTTTTAAAAATTAAACTTTTAATTTTTTATTTATATTATTTTTTTGTATATTTATTTTTAATAAAAAAGAACTAATCAATAAAATAATATGTACATATGAACTTCACATAAATTTTTTATGAATAATATATTGTTTACTATATTATACAATAGTCAATTAATATATAATATATTCAAAATATCTAATCACATCATCTAAATTACAATAATTATACAATTCAAAATCTGTGGTTTCATATTCATTATAAAAGAAAATTAATAAAAGATATAAATTTTTTGAGATAATTAGATATTTTATTAGAAAATTTTATATTGATAATAATAATTGATAATTGATAATAAAAAGATCAAATGATCAAATAATATAATGTAATTATCAGTGCAGTATTATATCTGCAAAAAAATATTTATATTAACACAAAGTAAATCAATTTAATTACTACTTTTATTATTATTAATATATTAATATAACATTGATCCTGCACAATTATTATTAAGCATTATAAGCATTATAAATTTATTATATTTATGATAAATTATATTTTATTTAATATTAATAAATAATCATTATTTATTACTATCTTTATATCTTTATATAATGTATACTGTACAAATTTACATATTTGTGTTAAAATAAGTATAATAAAAATAAGTAATATTAAAATAAAAATTGTGTTCTTAAATATTTTGTTACATATTTTTTCAATAATTTTAAAAAAAATCTGCAAAAAAATCAAAAATCAAAAATCAAAATTGAAAAATTAATATCATATATTACTATATAATAACTTATAATTATAATTAAAAAAATTTATATATTATATAAATAGTATTATAAATGTATATATTATAATTTAAATTTATTGTCATATACATTCATTATTGTTACATAACATTTACATATAATTAAAAACTATTCATATGTTTCCCAAGGTTTCTCTGGACGAACCAATATACCAGGTTTTGGAACTTTATATCTTTCTGGTTCTTTTAAGCAAATTCCACATTCTGATAATGTATCTAATAGTAATTGTATCTTATTTCCAGTTACAATTGAATCACTAACATAAATTTCAGATATACCACTTTCTAAGCAACGTTGTGCAAGCACACGTCCTACAAATTTGAATGCTGTAGCATCTTGTGTGCTAAAATATAATTTATAAAACTTTTTTATTTTATATTTTAATGTATTTATTTATTAACATTTTTTTAATTTCTATAACTTTATAATTTACAATAGAAAACATTGCATTATTTATATTCAAAAATTAAAAAATCTTAAATCATAAATATATTATATATGAAGTATCAATAATTGAATTTATATACAAATTTATATACAAACCTAATAATTGTTTTTTTATTCCCCATTCTTTACTTGAGACTGTAATAATAGGACCATTTTCAAAATGATATATTTCTGCTGTAACATTACGCTGTGTGCTATATATTTCAAGCCTAAACAAAGTTTTAAAATGATGAATATTAAAAAAACAAAATTAGAAAGAATTAGAAAATATGAATTAAAATTTTTTAATATAAAATATTGTTAAGGTTTTAATAAAAAAAATCATATAATAATTATAATATTATAATAATTATACTTACTTATGCCAAAATGTAATTTCACGTGTATCAAGGACATAACCTATTGGTTTTCTGGCGATCCTTAAACGCTCTAAATTTCGTGGATTACGGTTTATGATTTCCTTACAATTTTCTATTATTTCTGCATTTCCATGTATTTGTCTTTTAATTAAATTATTTAAAGATATTCGAAACATTTTAAAATGTTATATATATGAATAATCTTATCTATTCAAATACTAATAAAATGTACGTATATATTTTTTCAATTAAAATCTTAATAATTTTAAATATTTTGATAAATATATATTATAATAATCATAAATTAGAATAATAATCATAAGAATTTGGTTAACTCTTTGGTTAACTAATCAACAATGCTTGATGATGAATAATATTTTTATAATATTTATATATATTATATATTATTAATGTCTATATAATTATTTTAATGCAATTAAAATAATAAAAAATTAAATGTAAAAATTGTTATATGAATATAAAATTTTACTTAACAAAGCTTATCACATGAGTTATATAAATATATATACATATATGCTTAAAATGTTTCAATTATTTTAAACAATTATGATATAAGAATAATAATTATAATAAAAACTTAAAATATTTATATTAATACAAAATAACAAATAAATAAATATACATATCTATACATATATGTATATCATTTAAATAAATTTTTTTTCAAATTTTGAATTTTTATTCAGAGGCAGCACAATCTACAATCCTTTATAGGGATACAATCTTCATATCTAATATTTTGTTTTTCTAAGTTTTAAACATAACCAACTTATATATGAAAAATGAGAATTAAGAATAGATTTATGCTTTGCAATTAAACAAATATTAATTAGCAATAAAAAAATTTTATATTATTAAGAAATAAGAATTAATTTTAAAATGGGTACTGTAGAATATGGATTTCCAATGGTTGGTGGTTTAATGCCAGTAAGTATAAATGAAAAAAATATAATTAATTTATATATAAAATTATATCATATAATAATTTTGTAAATATATTTATAATATATTTATATATATTTTAAATATTTGATTTCAATTTTTAATTTTTATATTATTAGCAAATTCAAGCTCTTATAGCACCGCCTGTATCAGAAGATTCTAAAACAGCAAAAAATAAGAAAGATAAGGAAGAAAAAAAGCATCCATATTTTAAAAGAAGAGGACGTGGTCATAATCGTGATATTTGTGATGCTTGTCGAGATGGAGGAGAACTTATATGCTGTGACAAATGTCCTGCATCATATCATTTACAATGCCAGTGAGTTTAGATATTTGAAAATAAAAGAAATGAAAATCAATTTTTCTTATTTTTGAAATATATTTTATATTATTTTGAAATGATAGAAATTGTTAAATCTCATATCTTATTTATATAATCATTTTTAGTTATCCAGCTGTGGATCCAGCAGATATTCCTAATGGAGAATGGTTATGTTATGCTTGTCGGTGTGCATCAAAAAGAAATCTTTTAGATAATAAAGGAAATGAAAAAAACAAAAAAAAATCTGCATTAGAAATGCTAGCTTTAGCAGCATCTTTAGTTAATCCTAGAGAATTTGAATTACCTAAAGAATTGCAATTACCAATTATGTTTCCTGGTAGTAATAAAATAGATTATGTTTCAGGTAGAAGAGGAAAGCAACAAAGTGGAAGTAATAATGGTATATATTATTAATATTTTATAAGTAATTACTATATAAGTTATTTTTAACTATAAAATATTTTTTTTTTAGTAGGAAAAAGTCATTGTTTAGATAACAATTTAATGGTACCTTTGCCAGCACGATTGTGCTTTGAATGTGGTCGTAGTTGCAGAAAAGCACCTTTAATTGCATGTGATTATTGTCCATTATATTTTCATCAAGACTGTTTAGACCCACCACTCACAGCTTTTCCAATTGGAAGATGGATGTGTCCTAATCATCCAAATCATTTTATAGATCAGAATTTATTAACATCATGTAGAGTAACAGAACGTATTAAACTCTGGGACAAATATGCTAATCAACGTATAGATCAACATGCTGTAAAATTGGACTTTTTGCGGAAAGCACGTGCAACAAATCCACTTTTTCGTACAAAAATTAAATTAGAAGGTCGTACAAGAGTAAAGGTACCGTGTTCCGTTAAATTTCATTATGAACATCCACCAGAATTAGATCCTATACAATTTTATCATGATGCTGTTATAAGACCAGTGATTAAAGATAAAAATATGCAAAATGTAGAAAATAATGATAATAAATCTCCTAAAATAGAAAATACAGAAGTACAAAATTTGGGAGAATTAATGGAAGTAGAAAATGAAATTGAAGAAAACAATGAAATAAAAGAAGAAATTAATTTAGAAGAGACAAATAGCATGGAAATTAGTATTAAACAAGAAGAAAAAGTGGAAGAAAAAAATGCAATTGGAACTAAATGTGATGATAATAGTACTGAATATTATGCAGAGCAATATGGTTATGATGTAAAAGAAGGTATACAGTTACTTGAACGACCAGTCTTAGAAATATTGGCATTACAACGTTTAGAACAAATATTAGATCCAGATGGAGAAAATTATGATATAATTAATTGCCAGATGAAAGCCAGAGCAGCACTATTTTCTTTAAATCACAAACCTAAACCACCAGCTTTTATGGTTCATAAAACATTAACTATTGGAAGTGGTCCAAATTGTGATTTAGTTTTATCTAATTATGGTAACTGCAATTTTACATCCTCAAAACATGCTATTATTTTCTTTGACGAGGTGATAATAATTATTTTAACATTAATTTTATTAAATATTAAGAAACATAATATTATCTTAATTATTTATATTTTTTTATTTGCAGAGTACCAAACGTTATGAATTATTAAATTATAGTGAATATGGAACAGTAGTTGATAATGTACTTTATTCTTGTAACTACACAGGCGTTATAGAACAAGTAAAGGAAGAAATTGATGATAAATTACAGTCAATGAATAAGGAGCAAGAAACAACAGATGCAGTAAAAGCTATTATAAAAGAAAAACTATTGTCTCAAGATCAAATAGAAGATCAAAAAGTATTATGTAAATGTAATTCAACAAGATTAGAGACAAAAAATAAAAATCACTTAGAAGAAGGTGGAAGGAAGTGCTATTGTTGCTCATGGGTCAACATTGACATTTGGATGTCTAATGTTCGTATTTAATACGATAAATGCACATTTAGAACGATGAATTATTATAATGTAAATATTTTATTATTTTTATGTACAGATATTTTCGTAAATCAACGTTAATTAAATTAATAAAATAAATTTTTTTATTTTACATTATTTTCATCTCATAGGTATTAGAAAATAAATTTTAAAGAATGTTTTATAAAAATATTTTATTGAGTAAAATCATTATGTATTTGTATTACAGCTTGTATCTTTATCATCATCCTCAATAAGTTCATCAAAATCTCTAATTTTAACATCAGCATCCTCTCCATATTGAATAATATTATCAATTGTTAATTTAATATCTGCAATACTTTCTTCATTTTTTATATTTAATGGATAAAAACGCACTAAACTATAGTCCTCTATAAGCCTTCCTATTGCTTCAGTAAGATTCCTATATTTTTCATTCCAAGGATCTTTCTCCATATCTGCCAATAAACTATGTGGATCAGGTTCTAAATATTTATCTAGTTGTTTTTTCGCACTTTTTGATAATAAATCCATTTTACTAAGTATATTAATATGTGGTAATTCTAAATTTATCATTACACTAAGTGCAGCCATTGTACCAGATAAAAATTTTGATCCATCAACCATAAATTGACTATCTATTAGAAATATTCCACATATACGAAAATTGAGATTTTGTAACATTATTATTAATTGACGAATGACTGTCATATGTGTATATAATTCTATCTGACCTGGACAATCAAAAATAATATAATCATCGTCCACATCACCTAATTTTTCTTCTAACCATGATGAGTTTTCTATTAAATATCTATAAGTAAAATTTAATGATAAATTTTATATCTTATATCTTACATCTATAATCTTTATATCTTACTAAACAATTTATTCATGAACTTACTCCATACAAAATACAAGACCACCATTTGGTCCAAATCTTAATTCATTATCTTCCATTGCATCATCTAATTGAATTAATTCTCTTATATCAACTAAAGGTTCATAATCAAAATATTCTGCTGCTGGATCTAAGTTTACTACTTCTACTATTTTCCTTTCATCTATTGCATATTGTTGCATAGCAGAACAATATGTAGACTATGTAAAAAAAAATAATTATATATTAATAATAATAAAAATACTATATATAAAATAAAATATATACTTAACTTATATTTAGAAAATAAATATTATTTTATTATTATATTAATATAATTATATATTAAATTCATTTTCACATTTTTAATAAAATATAATTGCAATTCAATAAAATACATATACATTATTCATATATACGTTTTAAAATTATAGATTTAAATAAAAACGAAAAAGAAAAATACAATACCTTTCCGCTACCGGCTGGTCCCATTACAAGTTGTCCATATCTCATTTTGATTGTTTTTAAATTAATATCAAATAAAATACTCTATCTATTATTATTATCTATCCTTAATTATTAGAAATTGAATCACATTTGTGAGAGAAGTTTAAGGTTATCAAATTTAATGATTTTGAGTAAAATATATAGGTTAGGATTCCAGTTTGTACAATATAATTTTTTCAATGAAATGAGACTTTAATTACAAATATATAAATATTTGAATTTTTTTGCTAAAAATGAATAGAAAATAAAGATTATAAATTTTTATGTATTAAATTTTCAATATATGTTTATTATATGATTTTAAATAATACAAATTTATGTATATATTTCTTAATAAATAATAATCTTAATACTATCAATAGATCAGATAATTTTCATTTTTTTTTATTATGAACTTATAATAAAATTATAAAATATTACAAAAATAAAATGAGTTCTAAATAAATGTAAATAATCTTAATTCTTAAATTTAATGAAATTTAATTTAATTATTAATTTAATTAATTAAACTACAAACTACAAACTACATCTTATAATATTTTATATAATTTAAGTTGTTTTAAAATGATCATCTGTACTTGTTGTATATATATGACCTTCAGAAACTAAAAATTCTATGATATTATCTACATCTGATAAAATTGATTTTGGAACTTTCTTCTTAATCTCAGATCTTTCAATACCACATTCAGTATCATTTTGTGCATAAATAATTTTATAAACTAAACTTTGTTGTGATGACATTCCATAATGAAGATCATCTTCATTTGATACTTCATTTGTTGTAGTATTTTTTTTTAATTTTCTGTTTTTATTAAGCTTTGCTTCAGCTTTCAATGAAGCATAAATAACTTCAAGAATATGATTTGTTAACTCATTTAAGTTTTGTAATGGCAATAATCGTAAAATTAAAATATGACGTTTATCATTTTGTTCTCTAAGCATACCAACTATACGAACATATGTATTTACTTCTGCTACACGATCTGTTTCTTGTTTATTTGCTTCTAACCACTTGAGTGCAGTTATAGTACCTGAATGTATTAAAAATTAGATAAAAAGTTAAAGGAGAAAAAACATAAAGAAAAAATGTAATTATTTAAATCAAACCTGTATCATCTTCAATATCATATGATATTTTTGTTGCCGTCTCTTCAACATTGCGTATTAATCCAACAAATGTAAACATACGTGCTTTAATGCCCCAAAATGTTGGGTCTTCGATAGAAGAAATAGAATGTAACAATTTTATTGTAACTGGAATAAGAGTTTGTACTCTTTGTACATTTCCACCTTGTCCGTCTTTTCGAGTATTATTTAGAAATCCACCATCAGAATTTATACTGGTATTTAAATTTGTTGACCACATATTGATATTTAATTAATTATATATAAAGACTTTTTAAAAAATAATAAATTTTAGAACTTCAATCAAAATTTAATTAAACTTTTAACTTCAGTTTCGACAAATGTTTAAAGATCGAGAAGTATTAGCTAGAATAACTAAATTTACGCGCGAAAATATATATATAACCATGATTTATGTAAAGACTAGATTTGTGATTGAAAAATATATGTATAAATTTATAATATTCATATAATTACAAATTTTATATAATATTTTATATATTATATACATTTTATATATAATTTTTATTGTATGATATTTTAATTGTATCTCTAATTTAATATTAAATTTAGTTTGTATCAAAATATTTAATTTAAATTTATTTATAAGATAAAAACACAACTTGTAAGATATAAATTAGAACAAGTACTTATCGAATACTTTTGAAATTAAAATCGTATTAATTTAATAAATATTTATAATTAAAATAAAAATTTTCTATATAATATAAAATTAAATCAAATATTGTTATAATAATATAATTTAATGATTCATTATAATATAATAAAATGATAATTTCAATTTTTGTTATTGTGAATTAAAAAATTGGATTTTGAATTAAATTATATATAAAATTATATATATTTATTGTATTATATATATATTTAAGTTGTATGTAAAATCTGTAGATTAATATTCAATAGTAATTTCTAAAATAAATAATTAATTAATAATAATTTGTAAAATAAAAATAATTTTATTTTATTATATTATAATAATAATATAATAATAATAATAATTTCTTTGTTATTATAATAATAATTTCTTTGTTTAATATTCATATATATAAGATGAATAGTTTATATTAATTTAAAAATATTCATGTTTTCGAGAGAGGAAACTAAAATTATTTTTAGATGAAATTCTTATCTTTTTTGAAATCATAAAAAATCATATACATATAAAAACTAATGTAAATGTGCCTTATGATATGAATATGTAGCGGACGAAGGAAAACTTTGGTTTGTTGATTTAAAACTATCATAAAAAGTAGTATCATGGCGTCTAAGATCCGTGTGGACAATACCGTTAACGAACGTCGTTTACGTCCGATATATAGCAAGTACACTATTGACATTTATATCAATGAGAAAATGATTATATTTTTTAAATTATAAGACAATGTGCTTTTAGTATTTAACCGGTAATGAGGTTATGTAACGTTAGTATAATTTCAGATTGGTTGGATAATGGAAATAATAAAAAAGCTCTTCAAGAAGCAGATAAAGTACTTAAAAAACAACCAAGCAATCAATGTGCTAGAGCGCTCAAAGCTTTGGCTTTATTACGACTTGGTAAAGAAAATGAATGTCAAATTATTATGGATAAAGTACGTTCAGAGATTCCTTGTGAGGATTGCACTTTGCAGGTCATGAGTATTTGTTATAGAGAAAGACATCAACGTAAGTTTAAATTACATTTATAATTGTATACATAATTCTAATTGTTATATACATTAAAATATTACAAATACTAAATGTGGATTAAAATTTATTTATAGCTGATAAAATTAGTGAAGTGTATGAAGCTGCAGTTAAAGTAGATCCTAGCAATGAAGAATTATTAACACATCTTTTCATGTCCTATGTTCGTCTTGGTGATTATAAAAAACAGCAACAAACAGCACTTGCCTTATATAAATTAAAACCAAAAAATCCTTATTATTTTTGGGCTGTGATGAGTATAGTTATGCAAGCTATTCATGTAGATGAAAAGTTAGCAAAAGGAGTTACTTTACCTTTAGCAGAAAGAATGGTTTGTAATTTATTAAAAATTATTTTAATAATGCAATATAAATTATTTTTTGATATTTTTTATGTAAATAAAATCTAGGTATTGAAATTAATTAAAGAGGGAAAAATGGAAGCAGAACAAGAAGTGCAACTTTACTTAATGATATTAGAACTTCAAGGTAAAAGTGAAGAAATGTTAAATGTTTTATCAGGACCCTTAGCTTCACATCTTTCATCTGTTTCACAACATAAAGCAGCACTTTTATTAAAATTGGAACGTTTTTCTGAAGCGGCTAATGCATATAAGGAACTCATTAGTGAAAAGTGAGTTTAATATAATATATGTATATTTTAAATAATAATATTCTAATATTTTGTACTATTTGTGTATAATCTCTATCATAAATATAGTGTTGACAATTGGACATATTATCAAGATTATCTTCTTGCTGCTCTTAAATGTCAAAAGCCAGAAGAATGTTTAAATTTTTTTAATAAAATTATAACAACATCTGAGAAAAAATTTAGAGGTCCTTATCTTGCAAAATTTGAATTATTAAAACTTACTCAAAATGATGATGTTATTGAAAATGTTAGTGAACCAATTGATTTAATGTATCAATATTTTTCACAATTTGGAGAAAAAATTTGTGTAGTTGGAGATTTACGTTTATACTTACATTTATTAACATCTACAGGAAAGCAGCAGTTAATTCAGAAGGTAAGTAATAAAAAAGCAAAACATATGATGACATTTGTGATACTTTATTGTAAAAGTAATAATTATTTTAATTGAAATGTCATATATTTTTAGATAGAAGATGATGTTGGTGTTAAATCTGAAGGATTTCCAACTACTGTACAACAAATGCAAAAACATATTCATTTAGAACAATTACGTCGTATTTGTGGTTTTCATTGTCCTCCATATGTTGATATAAATAAACAGAAACAATTAGTAGAACGATTATGTAAATTATATAAAAAGGGTAATGAATTATGCCCAATCCAAGACAGATTACCAACTGATTTTTGTCCAGCGGATTCTTATATTCTTTTAGCAACGCATTTATTACATGAATTATGGTATAATACAAATGATGCAGTTTATCTTTATAGGTAATTACTATTTATATTATTAAAAAAGAATATTAAAAAAAATTTAGTAATAGTATTGACGTAATAATATATTTTTACAGGGCAATGGAATTATTAGAATGTGGTTTATTATCAAGTCCTGCTAATTTTTATATAAAAATTCTATTAGTACGAATATATTTAGAAGCAGGATTAATTGGTGCTGCAGATCATGTTTTTACTTATTGGATGTTAAACACATTCAGTTAGATTCATTGGGTTATTTACATGCACCATTACTTGCTCCACTTGGCCATCTTTCATTAGCTTCCATAACGTTAGATCATACAACTAAATTTTTTATTGCAAATTACAAAGATGTATGTATTTGCATATTACATTTGCTTTATTAGTAAGATATTTTATCTAATTAATTATTATAATGTGATTAGAGTGCAGATCATTTAACATTTGCTTATAAATATGGAAGTTTTGTAAAGATTCAAGAATTTGTGGAGTTAAAAGAACGTTTGGAAAATTCTTTTCACTTTGTTATGACTACTGTAGATAAAATGCTTCTTGAATTAAGTTGGTGTAATAGTTCCGCATCTTTAATTTCTACTTTAGATAATATGGATATACAATTAACTGAAGATTCTGTTCGATTGAATTCTTTACGAGATAACCGTGATTTAGAGGTAATATTTCTATAATTTATTAAAAAAAAAAATGATATTAAAATTTTTTTTGAAATTTTAATGTAATTCTTGATAATAGGTTGTTCCTGGATGGGAACCACTTACAGAAAATGGTAAAGATTCTAGAATGCAAGAAGAAACACGCATATGCATGCTGAGATTACTTGCAGTAAGGGATTTGATTTTAAAAATTTTAGCAGCATGCGTAGCACCTGATAGTTCCTCTCTTCTTATTCGATTTTCTAATGAATTAAAACAATTGAATAATGAGCAAATTCCTTCTATTCTTCAAAAATTTGAATTAGAGGGAAAAAAGATTAGATCATGTAAAATGTTAGTTCCTATGGATGCAGTTGAAAGGTTAAGCGAAGCTTATTACTCCGAGCAACTGAAGACAATCGCCCGACTTGCAGAATCACTTGCACAGTCACGTTATCCTGATCTTGAATGTATTCAAATGCTGCAGACTTCACCATGTCTTCAGACGATAGATATTCCTGAAAAAAGAATTCCAGTGTCTTTCAAGCATTTTTTATTAAGAGCATCCACATGTAGTGAATCTCTTGCAATTATTAGTGCCATATGTACTCTGTGTGCAACGCAATTACAGCCTAAGACTTCGCAAAAAAAGAACAAGAAAAAATGTAACAAACAAATAGCATCTCTTCCATTAAATGATAATGACCATGTAAGTCAATTATAAATATAAATATATTTATATCAATTGTATTATAATTTGAGCAATGTTTTATTATAGTTTATTATGTTATGTTACAGAATTGGAAAGAAGTAGCGATATTACTTGAAGAGCGAATTCAAAATTTAGATTCAGTATTGTCAGAATTTGAAAAATATCAATTACATACAGGATTAAATAATGACGAAGATGTGTGTGCTACAATAATTAAATATGGACAGGATAGTTTGGGACAAAGTTGTAGATCGTTAAAATCTCGAGCTCAAATCACTTTAAAACTTTTAACTAATTTAAAAAGCTGAAATTGTACGAAAACTCTTGTACAAAGAATATCCATCCAACTATTCATTGATTTTTAAAAACGAATCATTTATTGTGTACATAGTTCTTAGTCCTAATCAATTATAAATACCGACTGAATTCTTTAAATGCTGCAAATCAGTTTTTAAATGGCCTTAATTTTCTGTATTAAATTCATAAATGTTTAATAATTTAATAATTTTTTTTTTTGTGCACAATTTTCACTTGATATGTTTATATTGAAATAGAATACACTGCCGTCTTATATGAATTATTTTCAAAAATAATAAATAAACAGTATATTTGATAAAACTGGATTGAATTAATAAAATTTGGTTGAATCCAAATTTTGTTATCTTTGATATTACATAACAAGATATTGAAAAAAACTTTCTGATTGGTTATTATTTACTTTATTTATATAATCATTTAAAAATTGCTGTATAATTTTTTATTGTTTTAAAAATGACGAAATTTAAAAATTTTAATTTATATTGTTATATTTACATGTGCATTAAATATGTATTTTCATAAAGATGTGTATAAATAGATTATAGATAAGTGTTATAAAATTCAAATTAATTTAATGAAAGCCATTTTATGTCTTCTTTTCTTTAATATTAAACAAATTTATATTTTATTTTGATTCTTACATTGTATATGAATAAATTTATTACTTGTTAATCATGTAATTTTAGTAATTAGTTGATTGAATTGTATGAAATTAATAAATTGGATAAATTTATACGAAAAGGAAATTTGTTATATCAATTATTACATTTATTAATGTAATAAATTGTTAAGTGCACAAATTAAGAATAAAAATTTAAAAATTGTTAAATTATTGACCATTATATTTACAAAATTATTTTTTATTATGAAAATTTCGAGTGCATGATATATATTATATATTTCGAATGATATATATTATATATAATAATGAATAAGATGATTGATTGAAGAAGAAAAAAGAAAGAATGAAATAAATCAGAACACGTAAATTTTGCAAAGTAAGTATAGATAAGAAGAACAAATAAGAAAAAAATAGAGATAGGATAAAAATATTGAAATCAGCGCTATTTCTAGCACAAATAAAACTTATAAAGAAAGAATAAAAAATAATAAAAAAAAGATAGAATAAGAATTGATCATTAATGCCATCTCTTGAATAGTTAAAGATATCTTTTCAAAGATAAATAAGAGAGAGCAAGAACTGAGCATCAGCGCTATCTTTTGAATGTTAAAGATATATTTTAGGAATAAAATAAAGCAGTCAAGAGATGGCGTTGATATTCAATTCTTATTTCATCTTTATCCTTGTCTAATTTTTTATCCTTTTTTTTGAGTTTTTGAGTAACTTGTGGCACTCTGAAGATGGCGTTAATTTCAATATTTTGATGCTATCTTTATCCTTGTTCTATTATTTTTTCTTTTTGTCTACTTTTGTCGCGCGATACAGAAAAGATAAAATTTCAATTGAATGCACTTTCAAAATAATAATATTTTTTAATCTTTAATATAAAAATTATATTCTTGATTTTAAAATATATCTCTAGATGATTTTATAGAATATACAATATCTTGATATATATGTAAAATACATATATTTTATAATTATATAATATTATATTATAATTGAATAAAATTTGATATCATAAAAAATAAATGATAAATAATATGCAAAAATATACTTTTTCCTGTATTTTTTTAAAAATATTTTATTAAAATAATTACAAAATAAAAATCTATTTCTAATTCTCGCTTAACAAAAAGTAACAAAGTAGCTTATTATAATTAAAAAAATCATACATAAGTAACAGCATGAAATCAATTATCTATTTTATAACTTATATAAATATAATCATATATAAAATACAATATTTCATATATAGAGATATATTATAAAATATTTTGTTGTAAAAATATTTGTTCTATTATATTATTATAGTTTTCTATTAAAATTTATAGTTTCAATTTCAACCATTACTAACGTTGCAATCTCAAAAACACATGACGATGACAGGAAATAATCCATTCGAAAAAATGTCAACGAAAAAATATAATTAACCCGAATTATGGTTATTCGATACAAAATCCTAAGTGACACTTTTGAAATCAACTGGATTCAACTGGAACAAAGTTCTATGAAATTTTAGCGCGAAATTTGAACTTGTGCAATGTGTTTTCTTCCAACAATTATATAATTCGGAATTTTTTAGGCTATACAGTTGATATATTACAGTTTACAATATTTAATTGATATCATTATTAAACATGAATTCCTTTGCGGAAAGCCCATTATTTTTTTTCATGGATAATATGTCACCCATCATTCCTGTTAAAGTTACCAAAAATACACGAAAAATCATTGAATTGTCGGATACAGGTTGTGATGCCAGATTACCGGCGACCAAAATTTTACAAAACACCGATCGATCTTATCCTCCAAAATCTAAGATAAAATTAAATGAAGATTGGCAATCATATTGCGATAAAAAAAATTGAGAACAAATATTATGAAGAAAAAGTTCGAACGCAAAATGAGCATAATAAAATGGATGCTAACGCAGGCTATTACTCTTTTCCTAAGAAAGATGAAATCAATCAGGTAAATTATTAATAAATAATTATTAAAAGCTCGATTTTGAGTCGGATTATATCGTAATTATTACGAAAATTTTAACTTATTTAAAAATTTAATTTTATATTTTAATATTTAAAATTTCTTTCTCGTATACACCTTTAATAATTTTTTAATTATTCGATTAATTTTATAGAATATTTTATAGAATATTACAATTTTAAATATTTTAATTTTTAAATAGAATCTACTCTACTTATTTAGATATTACAAATTTTTTAAAATTTATTCTTTTTTCAATAAAAATTTAAGAATAGAAATATCATTTTTATGAGTTTAATAAAAATTTTTTAAAATTATTCTTTCTTTAATTACTTTTATAGAATTGGGAAAACTTCTCTCCACTTGAAAATTTAATGGAAAACGTCAATTTCAGAAAAAAGTTAGAGACTAAAGAAATCAGATCTAAATTAAAAACATCAGAAAGAACAAGATCAAATTCTTGGAAGCATAAAGATAATGAAATTTTATCAACCACCATTCCCAATCATAGCCAAACTCGACAAAACGTTCAAAATAATATGAACGATATAAAGAAAGATACCATTTCTCAATCTCACACTGTAGGGTCAAAAGCGGCTGGGTATAAATTCAAATTTCCTCGTTCTAATTATCCCAAAGTAGATTCCCGATTTACCGATCCAGTAATTACCAATAGAGAAAAATTAATTTCTATGGAACAAGAATATTACGAAGAGTTTCCATCTAAAGATATTCCGGAGAAATCATCGAAAAATTATAAATTTAATTGGCAAAGAAACAGCAACATATCCGATTACACGGAGAATCTTATGGATGATATATCGCATAAAAATCCTAGATTTTCTAGATATAATTCGAAAAACGAAAAATTCACTAATTCTAGGAAACCTAACGACACGAAAAATTGGAACGAGACAAATGCTAGCAGGATTCGATCCAGAACTTGTTCACCTCCCATTAATCGACGAAAAAGAAGTAGATCTTTCCCCAAAACGTTCTACGAGGATTTGAACCAACATGAAAATCAACAAAATACAGAAAATTCGGAATATATGAATAACGATGAGCCTCGATTTTCACAAAATTCAAATTCTAACGAATCTGTAAATGAATCAAAATTTGTGGATCGTGGAGTGGATAAGGACAGTTTATCGGATTTGCAAAATGTTTGTACATCCACTGAACGATTGTTCAGTTCGAGGACGACGATCGTGGATCCTTTGTCGGATACTGGTAACACGAAAGTCAGCTTCTGGGAGTTCATTCCATTGGACGATATCGATGATCAAAAATGTGAAAAGATTACTGAACAAGAAAGTAAGAGAACTGGTTTCCTGCACCAGCAAGTTGGTTTAAGTAACGAGAATTATTCTTCCACTAAACGTTTGCCCAATAATTTTATAAGAGGAAGAACAGAAGTTCAAAAAGATACCAGAAAAATACCCGAAGAAAATTTTCCGAATTTCAAATTATACGAAAAAGAATTTCCGAAAAGGTTAAACATGGAAAAAACTGCATTGCTCAATTCTTTTCAGAACGAACGATACAATGATAGACCAAATATTACTGAGACGAAGTTTATGAATTCTAACCTCGAAAAACAAAGAATAATGTATTCAAGTATTCCTATAAAAATGAAAATTGTCGATACATCGAAGACTCAAGAACGATGCAATTATGAATCCAAAAGTCAAACCAAAATTAGCAGTAGATTTAATTTTGAATGGGCAAATAAGACAAATCGATATTTGAAGAGACCAGTCAGTGCACCCAAGCCTGAGATCATCGAAGACAAAAAGAAGAGAATGATGAATATGCAAAACGATGCATATAAACAAAAGCTAAAAATAAATATTATGGAGAGAACAGCGGCGTGTTTGAAACGCAAACTGGATAAAACGAAAATCAAGGAAGATCTGGCAATTTTGAATCAGCAGATAATTCAAAAGAAAATTAAGTCTCAACAATCTGCATCCAAATTGCCTGTAAGAATAGGAAAACGTCTTAGATCAAAGAATCCTATCGCTAGAAATCGAATTAATGAGACAATGTACGGTACCAAACAAGAAAATAAAGAGATAGAAATAAGGAATTTAACGATACGTGTCAATTGAACAATATAAGATCTCGAACAAAACCGAAGTTGAAACCGAGTGTAATAATAGATGAAACGATGAATATTAATGAAACTTCGAAGAATCTATTAATAGAGAAAATGCAGTCCATCGTAAATGATTGTAGAATTGGAATTAAAGCTAACGAGGATTTGAAAAATGTGAAATCGACAATGATTAAAGATCACGGTAATGATCAAAGATAGATTGGAATTAGAGTGTACCGATCTTAGAATACGCGACACTAAGGTTAGAAATTGTTCGGTTAGGATCGGAAATTATTCGTCTTAAATCGAGAAATGTTCGGGTCTCGTCGGAAATTATCGGTCCGAGTCGGATCAGATCGAGTTCTCGAAACACATAAATATCGAGATTTCTAAAATTTTGAAAACTCGAATCA